ATAGACAAAATTTTGCATAAATACTGAGATTATATTCAACATTGCTGAAACGAAACAGAAAATAGAACTAGTGATCTGCCAGCAGAATTAAGCACATGAGGGACAGGATAAAGTACAAATATTTTTATGGAAGACAAAACTTTTGCAACTGGATTCAACATACAGAACTAAATAGGTTTTTTTTGTTCTTGCATCCTGTGAAGACCCCTGCATATCTTATTATAACTATGACAACTGGTGTGGTTTTTCACCTCTGTTCACAACAGAAAAAAGTTTATGATAAGTTTTTAACTAGATGAAAAGATGACACCGTGATTTATGAAGTTACTTATTTTTTGTTTAAATGAAAACTTTAATTTTCTCATATTATACAGTTTAGTAAGATTCATCTAGGTGACAGACTTTTTTCAATGGATGATAAAGAAAAGAAAGGTTTCTCATAAGGGATAGGCTTTTTAAGAAACAAATGACAGCTTCTTAAGGAAGAAAGACTCTGAGCATATTGATGGATTAAGAATTGAATACAATCCAGCAATGTGCACATGCAGGCCAGAAAGAAAATTGCACGCTAGGCTGCACCAGAAGTGTGTCTAGGAGGATGAGAAGTGATTCTGTCCTTCTGCTCTAGTGAGACTATCCACCTCTGGGGCTCTCAGGATAGGAGAGACATGAACCTGCTGGAGAAGAACCAGAATAGGTCCACAGAGATGATCAGTGATACATGCAGATCCCCTCTGAAGACAGGCTGAGAGAATTGGCATTGTTTATTCTAGAGACGGGAAAGATTCTTGGAGACCTTAGAGCAGACTTTCATCACTTAAAGGAGGCCTATAGGAAAGACTGGGACAGACTTTTTATCAGATAGAGTAGTGACTGGACAAGGGATGAGGTTTTTAAACTGGAACAGGTAGATCTAGATTAGATATTAGAGGGAAACCTTACTGTGATGGTGGTGAGGCACCAGAAGAGGTTGACCAGAGAAATTGTGGATGATCCTAAGAACTGTTCAAAGGATAAGGCAACCTGGTCTAGTGTTCCTGGCACAGGGGTTGGATCCAGATGATCTTTAATTTGCCTTCCAACTAAAACCATTCCATGATTCTATGAAGTCTACTGAGACTTTATAGTCTGAAGAACTCATAATCCAAACCAACAACCCTCTCCTCCATTTAAGCCAATATTTTCAGCTGTGTATTCTTAAACTCAGGTTCTATAGAGGCATTAAAAGAAAAAGCTTTTATTTAAAGATTATTAAGCTTTCTCTTTTGTTATTGATCAATTTTTCTGGAGTAAAAGCAGTTGTTTTCAATAGAGGAATATGAAATCACAAATCTGAGTTCAAACAATAACTTTTGTAGATTTTGAATAAAGTAACTGGGGCCATGATTAATAAACAGAGGTTTAACTCATGAGACATTAATTATCTACTGAAAAAGCTGAAGTGAAACTAGTTCCAGTGAAAACTTTAATTGGAAGTTCTATACATGAAAGTTTTATTTATACATTAAAGTTTTCTTCCTTGATTTATGAGGAGAAAATTCTAAATCCTTCTCTACATTTTAAAAAGACCTAAACATTTCATAGAATCAAAGAATCATTCATGTAGGAAGGGATCTCAGAAGGCAAAACAGTGCGAACTCCTGCCTGAAGCACAGTCATCTTTAAGATAGGTCCTCCTTGCTTCCATAAAATGCACAGTTCAGCAATGGCCATCTCTGTTTCCATGCGCTTCCTGGACAGGCTGCTACAACATCTGCTACCTGCTACAACTGAAAGCTGGAAGGAAAATTTAACTAGCCTACAAAAAAGTTGTAATAATTTCTAAAGTAGGTGATAAAACAAATTTAAAAACCCTTTCCCATTTTTCATAAGAGTTCCTATTAATTTAGAGGTGAAATTTAAAGCTTTGGATGTTGATTACAAAGACAAAGGCTCATGATCTCTTATGAAAACATGTTTTTGTGCCTGTGAGTTATGATATGGTTTGAAAGAGTTTGTATGACAATAATTAATAGAGAGGAAAAGGAGGCTAAATGCTCATAGCAGTTTCTGGAAAGAAAAAGGGCATAGGAACCAGTTGGTTATTGCTTAATGATACTTATAGAAATAACAGATGGCTGACATCCACAGAGATTGTCTATGTTGTGTAGATATAAAAGATACAAACATTTGTCAATTAAACATCTATCAGACCTGCTTGGAAGAGAGAACTCCCTGGTATCTACTGATAAGTCCAAAGGATTAGGAGAGACAAAAAAACAAACTGGAGAAGGCTCAAAAGGAAGCATATGGATTTGCTTTCAAATCTTCAGCAGCTGAAAAAGCTGAAGTTAAAGGGACAGAATGTTCAGAGAGTGATTTTCATTAGTAACGAGAGATGCCAGGCCAGAGTCAGCCTCTTGTGTCCGTGCCTTTCCAGAAAACAGAAAGTGCTGAAGTTCAAGTAGTCAGCAAAGACTGAACATACTGCCCTTCTTCATTGAATCTATAACCAGACATTTTCTTTCTGAGCTCCCTTCCCTAGGGTGGGTGTTGAAAAAGCAGCCAAAGACAGAGAAATTCCAACAGAGAAATGAGAGCAGCATGCTCATACAGACATGAGTGGCTTTGCAAGACTTCAACCACTGGTATCTTTATTAATGGGGAGAAAACTACATCTTCTTTTTGACTGAAACATTTTTAGAGTTCCTAAATGAAGGTAAATTCTTTTCTTTCAGATAACTTTACATTTTCTTCAATCTGCAATGTAACACTTTGTGTGTCAGTGTTCTTGGGCAATATTCTAAGACAAGAAGAACCACGGAAAATTTTGCATAAATGAAGAAATTACAAATAATAAGGCTTATTAAAAAAAACCCCAAAAAACAGAAAACCAAAACCAAACCAAAACAAAATTACTAGTATTAAAATATTACTAATAATTTAAATAAAATTGTCATATTTGTGCTCTCAAGAAAATAAGAACACTGGAGATCTAAATCACGACAACCTCTCATGAAATATTATTCTCCTAAATTTTTAAATCAAGGTATTATATCTTTCATTAAGGTACAGTATACTCTGACACTGAAGGACAGATTAATTCACTCCAAATACTACCTAATAACTAAGCTAACAATTCCCTATCTTGGTAAAAATAATGGATTTTAGGTTTGAGTCAATTTTAGATTGAGTCAATATTTACAATGTATTAATTTATCATAAACAGATATTGCGTCATTAAAAGAAAATTTTAAAAATTCATTGTTTTTAAAATTATTTAATATATGCACATGCATGTCCCCAAATATTTGATGTTATATGATGCACCTGTATGTATACAAGTAATATATTTATATTTTAAGATGCAAAGCTAGTACACATTGTATTTTAGTCTCTCTTAGCTTCATTAGCAGTGACTGCATTCACTAATCCATCCCTCCAGAATTTAAGTGAACTTAACATTTCAAACCAACAGACCCCAAACTAAACAAACTTTCAAAAAAGAGAAAAAAAATAAAAAGGAAAAAAAAAAACCAAACCAGCAATAACGGAGCAAACAACCAAAGCAACCAACCAATGAAAAAACAAGCCCCCAAAATAAAAGAAAAACAACCTCAACAACTCTGCAAAAACATTTTCTGAAGAAATAGTGTGGACAACAAGATATATCATCTTCAGACAAACAGAGTAATTATTTAGACATTTCACTAAAGAGCTCTTTAATCTAGTTTCTCAGGATCTTACTGACTTACCTAAAAAACTAGCTTCATTTCAATTCAAAATGGGAAAACCACTTTTTATAGTAATAGAGAAGATTCATTTCCCACTGGATTAAGAAATATTGGCACAAAATCCAATATTTTATCAGTAGAAAATCCATTCAAAATATAGATCAATTTCAGATCTTCCTCTATCTTTCAGGCATAATCATTTTAATGTCTAACAATTGAGAAACTAATCTGATAAAATTGGGGGCTTTCTTTTTAATATTTTCTTATAAATTATCTAGAGTAATTTGTATGCAAAATTATCGCATACAGAAAAAAACCAAATAATAGTAAATACTAGAAGTCATATAAACGGTTTGTGCACAGTTTCATCCATCTAAAGCAGTCTGTTGCAAACTCATCCTGCTGAAAAAACATCTTTATATAAGCATTTTGTGTATGTCACTGTATACAAAGTAAAATAATTGCACGCAGTTACCAAATTATAGGAAATTGAACCTTACTAGCATAGAAGAACAAAACAATCTTTTCCCATATAGGACAGATGAGAAACTAAAATCTTTTCTCTACAGGATAGAGAGACAAGACAAAATTTTACTAGTAACTTTCAATCCTGTATGATGCATATTTCCCATTCTCCTTACACAGTAAAATTTTAAAATTAAAATTTGTATGAAAAATCAAAGAATAAAGAACAAGGGCAATAATAGCTTGCAAATAGTTTTTGCAGTATCCAAAGATTATGAATGAAGCCTGTAAAAAATAGGCAAAAAGATGCTCAAAAAAAACATAAAACAAATTTGTAAAAAACTTCCCAAGTGAATTATCCTTATGCTTTAAAGTTCTTTGAGGCAAGAATTAAATTATCTAATTTAGGGTCTAAAAAAAAGAAGTTACCTTTTCTCTTTTATTTGTATACATAAATGTAGAGAACATTCAGTTAATCTGTGATTTTTAGTAACACTTAAGATTTACATAGGGTTCACCATTTGAGTTTAAAATTCGGCAATCTTTAACTAAAACCTAGAGGTCTATTATCACCTTATACAGTAAAGAAAAGTTTACGAAAAAAACATTAGAGCATGGCATTGGAATTTATAAAACACTGTCTAAAAGAACTGCTGAGAAACACGGAACATGTCAGTTACAAGGGAAAAAGAGTATCAGAAAGTTAATAAAGTCTAAGATAACATTTTGTTAAAGAGCATGTTACGTTTACCCCTTCCAGCACTAAAGCTTTAAGGCTTCTAAGGAGCTGCTGTGACTCTCTATTCCCAAGCAAAAACTCACTTGTTTGATGCGGTCTGGATTAACAGTGGTCTGAGGCTGTAGGATGCTGACAGGCTCTGTCTTGGCCACATTCTGAGGCATTTCTCGAATCTTCTCTGCAATGAAGCCATGAACTGCGTTTAGTGCTTCGACTGTTCCCTGGATCAGACACACCCGCTCCGTAGTACCTGCAAATACCAAAAGTCATCTGAATGGTGTGGACTCTTCAAGGTCCCACAAACCGCTTCGGTTAGGGCACAAAGATGGCACCCAAAGAAAATGCTGCAAAACCAACCAGCAATACCTCCCTGAAAGTACAAAGGAGAGATTTCCGAATAATAACATACTGATGATGTGAAGGTATTTTAAACAACTATTGGTGTAGATCCCATGGTCACTAACTTTCCAAGTCAGCCTGGATAACATCAGTCAGAGTACTCATAACCTTCTTACAAAATGAAATTATTCTGTTTGAGCTACAAAAAATCAACACCAGCTCTTATCTGTTGATTTCTTATTTAAAACATCTACAAGATGGCTGAAGATGGATGCAGAACTGTGGGAAATACTTCCTTGTTTTTTTGGGGGTTTTTTTTGTGATAAGACTGGTTTTAGACGATTTTATATGACCTTGTAGAAAAAAAAGGCTATTTTACATATTGGGTTACAGTTTGATACATCTTCACTAAACAAATGTAAAACCTCCCAGTACCAGTCCTAAGGGTAAGAGTATGACACGTCACTGAAACAATCCATGTTCTGTATTCCACATATCAAACCACTTAAATAGGTTCCAGAAAATCAGTTTTGATTTGAAAAACAGTTGGAAAAAAACTCCCTAAACCCCTCAAAACCAACTTGAAAAGGAATATTGTAAATTCCAATTTCATTCTGCAGGAATACCAACATAAGACAACTTACACGCTCAAGTAAAACTGCCTTAAAATTTCACATAATCTGTACTTTCAAAAATATATTCTTTACACTTCCATCATACACAACTTTTTTTTTTGTATTCATCACCTCACTGTTGTCTTCAAATATCAGTAGAGCAGTTCTATTAACAAAAGACAATTATAAAAAGAACTATCAAGATACTGGTGTATTCCTAAAAATATAGTAGTACCATAAAACTGATTGTGTTGCAAAGATAAGCCAGATACATATCTCTATTCAGTGTCAGTCCTTATTTTACTTCAAGATTATGGAGAGGGAGAGCAAAGTAACAAATCTGAGCCATGGAATTAGCACAAAAATAAATAAAATTTTTTTCATTGATATATGCCTAGCAAATACTATTGATATAAGGACACAAATTAATCTTTTCTCACATAAAATTCATTCACTCTACCTAAGAAAATGAAAATGACAATGTAAAGTGATGTGGCAAATACAAGTTTGCAACAATTTCTGAAATTCATCACATCTTGGTTGGCCTCATTTCCACTGTAGAACCTGCATGGAATCACACAGATTAATGCACAAGAGTGGGAAGCAACCTTCTCCATAAAATTCCCTTCCTATCAATTTTATGTTTATATAATCAGCTTTTATAATCTTAAGATATGCTCCTTATAAGAGTGCAACATACATTAACAGAGAACAGTATGACAACCTTAGGAATTTTCCAAAAAAAAAAGCTGGGTTTTATTAGTTAATGCTCTTCACCTGCTTCTGTGGATGATTTCTAATATTAAATATTTTATTACCTAACGATGAAGAAGCACACTAAGAGCCTTGCCTGCTCTTAAGATAACATATTCACATCTACTGAAAATCTGATTTTTATCTTAAGTATCAGGCAATACTGAAATTCAACACTGGTAGAAGCACTACAGCAAAAAAGACAGAATAAGAAACATACTTTTTTTTTTTGTCTACCAAAATGTTATTTAAAAATAATTAATATTAGAATCAAAACATGTCAACCAATATACCAAAATATGTCAGATTATTAATCCTTACTCTAAAATTAGAATGTTTATACTTTTAACTACAAGTTAGAAAAGTCTCCCAATCAAATGCATATTTCTCAAGAGGAAGATTTTAAAAATATTTTTGTGACCTCTTACAGCACCTTTTCAACAAATCAGCTTCAAAATACAGCTAATTTTCTTTTCCAAATGCTTTCTCAGAAAAGGGAGTTTGACTGCCACAAGAGAAAGTCACCACAGCAAGTAAAACTTGGTTCCTAGACAAAGCTTAATGCCTTTTTTCCTTTCCCTACTTGGCTCCCTCCCCTTTTGCCACCATCGCCTGTGGTTTCTGTGTAAAGCAATCCAGCTCCAAGGAAATGCTCCGGGGAGTCTTTACAAGGTAGTATTAATTGTCTCCTAAACGATGAGCTGCGAGGTGGGCTGATCAATGCAGCTAATGCAAGTGTTCTCCGGCTCTGCAGACAACACACGGAAAGGAGACACAGCTCGGGTTACGGCCAGCCACCCCAGCTCATCCTGAGAGCACTCAGCAGGCAGGGCTCCTGTCAAAACCCTCAATGGAAAACACTCCGTGCTAAACAGCAATGTCGGCAGACTTGACCCTAAGGGACTAAAGGGTGTTTTGCAATCCGTGTTATTTTAGAAGGCGCTGCATAATAAAAATATGCCGTATGTAATACCACAGACCAAACATGCCACATTTCAGTATGCATAAACTGGGATGTAGTAGCAGAAATCAGTCCCATGAAAAAATAAAATTGTGCAAAACCACATCTCACACAGAGTTAAAGTACTCATAACCTTCTTCCAAAATGAAATTGTTCTATTTGTGGTACAAAAAATCAACACCAAAGCAAATGGCACATTTGCTTTGATAGTCACGTGCACAAAAAGTATTAAAAGTTAAAACCGTGGAGAAATTGTAAACCTATGCAGTTTTGAATTGTCTTAATCTTTTTGAAGCAATGTTGTCATAGTTCTTCACAACTGTAATACTTCTCACTCCGATACTAAAGTACAATAATTTGCAAGAATTACACAAAAGGAAAACTGCTAACTACATGACCAACCTGTATAGCAAAGAAAACCCTACAAATCACTAACACTGGTGAAATTTCTCTCATTTTAAGAACTTTTAGGCTCTCTAGTGTATGAATTAAAGTCACAAATTGCTTATAATATTCAGTTAACAGTTTTATTCAATCCTTTTTTCACATTTCTGTGATCAAAAGCTAAGACATCTATATATATACACTTTTTGTCATATGATTTTCAAAATATGTATTTAAAATACAGACATAATTTTTGAAATTGCTGACAAAGAAAATCAAACTACCAAAGCTCACTGCCCTTATTTAGGTTGTGTAAGCACAAATAATATAAAATTATTCTCTCCTTAAAAATTACTTAGAACTCAATTAGGTGCTAGGGTCATGTATTGTACACTGTCTTTAATATATGAAGATACAAAACATATACAAGAGAAGAATGATTTTGACACAGATAATGGCTAAATGTAGAATAGGTGATCATCATCCTTCTACATTAAATAAACCCAGAAAAATGCTTTTATTTATGTTCAATAATAACGAAGTCCATAGTAGAAATTTGAATGTAGCTATAAATTGGAAAAAAAAGTAATAGAAAAATAGAAAGACATGCTGCTGATGTTTCTACAATCTTTTGTTTTGGTTTTTTATCCCCTAAGGGTCTCAAATTACTTTTTAGCAAGTGCAGTGTCATTTCTTTCCCCTTATATTAGAATGCAAATTCAATTTGCATGTGTGGGTTTTAACTTTTTCTTATCAAATAGGAGGCAGAATCTAATTGCACAAAAATACCCTGCCTGTACACTCACCAAAAAAATTATTTGTAAAACCACCAGAGAAAAAAGCAAACCTTTATCTCTTTTTTTATTTTATTTTGTTTAGTTTATAGGAGGGCATTTTTGGGCCTTTTATTTTACATGGCAATATATAGAATATTTCTTTTTTCTCTACAGTTCTGTGGGAAAGGGAAAAATGAAACCATTACTGGGCATCATACAATTTACAGAAAACTAGACAAAAGACTCTTTTGATATCTAATAAATTAGGACTAAAACATAAACAGGCTTGCAATAACTTTATTTTAAGAATTAATTTTCTTCCTACCTCTTATAACTATCTATAATTTTACTTCTGGCAAATATCCTTGGACATCACACTAATTTTTTCAACAACTTCCAAACAACAGACCATGATTTTAATCTGAGAATGTTATTTACTTATTGGACAGCTGATACAGCTTTTATAGCAACCATTAGAATAAATGGCAGGAGACACAACAGGATAAATGATCGTGATGCTTTTGATGTTTGCATTTCTGTACTTAAGTGGCACACATCTATACATGGTTGCCACAAAAAATTAAAATACTTAAAGACTCTGATTCAATGTGTAGGAGTTTTTCTGTACTCACAGAAATGCTCACTAAATGGTAAATGTGCTGCTGTGTCTTTGGAAAATAAGAAGCATTTTTCAGCTGAAATGTTTTGGGGAACGCATGGCACCTTTCAGAAATCTCTGGCATTTCTACGACTCTATAAACTGGGCTTTTTTTGTCAATCTTAAAGAGAATTTGAAAACCTAAAAAGCACAATGCAATAGCAGCCCAGGGTAATCCCAATGCATCCACTAATTAAATCTCCTTGTACTTTTCCAGTGTACCATGCCAATTTCTTGGATACTAAAAGAGAGAACCTGTGAGAGAAGCCAAAGTTAAAACCTTAACTAAGTGAAAGCTGCACTACAGTCTCTCATCTGCTCATTTACATGAAGCTTTTTGTTTGACAACTCCCAGTACAGCACTCTACTAAACCCAATGTCCCATACATGGATTCTTGTGACCCACGATCAGCTGGCTGTTAGAATAGGATTATACACAACACCACACAGACTGATTCAGCCAAAAATTGATCTTGCAAACCCCTTGGTAAAATAGGACTGTGCTTAGATACTATTCCCAAGCAAACTAAAAATTGTCAGTAACTTGCTTAACATGAAATTCTGATAAACTCTTTCTTGGATATAACACTTCCACTGCACATTTGTATAAAGCCTCAGAAAATGAAAGTCATAATTTTTTATTTATTTTTTTTTTAATTCAAATGCATTAGAAGTATCTCACAGGGTCTTCAACATAACATATAAAGAAACTTTGTCATATAAATGATAAAGTGTACAGTCTTAAATGCAACACATAAGAACATC